CGGCCCAGCTCATTCATGACGTATTCAAGCTCAGCTACACGAACAATTGCAAGACCACGGCATATCATCCGCAGAGCAACGGCTTGACGGAGCGACTTAACAAGACCATCGCTGACATGTTATCTATGTACATAGATATCCAGCATAAGACCTGGGACCAGGTGCTACCGTACGTCACATTCGCGTTCAATACTGCCGTCCAGGAAACTACGCGATTCATGGCTTTCCGTCTTGTCTATGAACGTGGGGTCCAGAACATGCTGGATGCGATGCTTCCACACTACTGCGAGGCTTTGATCACTCCTGATGCTGTGCAGCTTACCCAGTACGCCGAAGAAGCACGCCAGTTAGCACGCCTACACATTACGCACCAACGGAGTACAGACGCATGCCGCTACAACGCTCGCCATTGACAAGTTGAATACTATCCAGGCGATGAAGTTTGGGTGTGGACTCTAGTCTGATGCCAGTGACTGTGAGAAAAACTGCTCAGTCGCTACTTCGGACCATAGAAAGTCTCGCGATGGTTGAGCGATGTGAACTACGAGGTAGTCCCTGACGGCGCCTTCTCGCCACGACGGCGAAGGCACTCCTCGGAGATTGTCCACGTAGTGCGCCTGAAGCCGTACTTCCCGCGGTAGTGCGACTGCGCATGAACCATATTGCTGTTTTTGTGTACGCGCGTATTTTCTGTTGGTTCGCCCCGACCTTGCCTTCGTACTTTCCGAGCATCAGAATGATGCCTCTTTTTTTTCTCAGAGGGGGAATAATGCCACTTGGCCGCAAGTTACGGCGAGCGCAAGCTATGGCTGCCCGCAAGAATGGAAGACGATGTTCTGGGGCAGCGCGTGCTATGGCTAGCTGTTTATTATTGAAGTAGTCATCTTGCCAGTTTTCGGTGCTTCTTCCGCCGGCTCAGTTCTTCCTAGTTGAGGCCCTTTTGTAGCACGTCAAAATATAAACATCTGCAATTCTTCCACATATATGTGTGCGTGCAACAATTGTACAAGTACTTAGCACCATTTCATGACGCGCCGCTCAATAAAACAAAACTACATTTGGGTCACCTTCCCTCTGCATGCTTCTCATAACGTCGATTCCCAGGTACTTAGGATCTTTCAAAATTTTTTTTCAAGGATGCCCCTGATATTATGCTAGGTATAGTCAACCATTATATCAAATGCTCGTGAATTCATCATATTAGAAAATTGCTAAAATAGCTGCAGTTCCTATAAAATATTGTGCGGGATACACCTTGGACAATATAAGACTGATGATGAAACAAGCGCTAAAAAATGCACACACTAGGAGAGGACACGGACGAGCTCTTACTAGCAACTGAAAACTTTATTTCGAAGCGAACACTAATCTATGCATAACACGCATGTACCTCATTCCGAACCTATTAAATAGGTGCGGGGTTCCCAGCCCATTACAGCACTCTTCGAGAGACAAGCGGCTCAAATTCGCACGAAACGGAGCAATAACAGATCTGTGATGCCCTTAGGTGCAGGGGAGCATGCAGCTACACTGAAGGAAACAGCGTGTCTTTATCATTGTCTGAAAAGACTGGGTAACCCGTGGAACTTTTTTCGTGATTGGGATAGGGGCTTGCAATTCTACTTCAAAGAGGAATTCCCAGTAAGCACGAGTGATAAGCTCGCGTTGATTACGTCCCTGCCCTTTGTACCCACCGCCCGTCACTACTATCAATTTATTATTTTAAAAAGGTCTTCGGACTGATGTCCGGTTGCACCGGTTTGTTAGAAAAAGGACAAAAAATTGATCATTTAGAGGAAGTAAAAGACGTAAAAAGTATTTACACGAGTTTGTTTCCGGTTGTGTGCCATCAATTATGGAAGTGGTTTTTTGATATATCACGCTGTTGATGATGACACGGGGAGGTCTGGAATGACGTACTAGCGAGTTATGCATATTTTACTGTTCGCTTTCAAATTAAATTTTCAGTTGCTAGTAAGCGCTCGTCTGTGTCCTCTCTAAGTGTGTGTATATTTTAGCGTCTGTTTCATCGTGAACTTTTACTAACACACCCAAGTGGCCGCCATGCCAAGTATATGACCAACAGCGCTAACTTCCAATGTGGTTAAATCAAATAAAAAATCTCTTATGCTCGTGCTATTAAATTGGTAAAAAATTGAGAAATTCTCAGTGATTTCAAAGTAGGTTCCAGAACTGTATGTTTTATCTGGCATGCCCATGTAGACTAGGAGAGCCGAATATAATTGGCACACTGTCGCAGACAAACAGAAGCCCTGGCAACTTTGAATATATTAAAAGCCTACGATAGTGTATAACATAAAATTACACTGGAATAATTAAAACTTCATAACATCCAAATTTCAATAGACAGGTGGTTAGCTAGTTTTTAAAGTGAAGGAAAATGTTCACTAAAGGGTAATTCTTCAAATGTACATTTCCAGTTACGAGGAGTTCCTCAGCAATCAGTCACGTAGCCTCTCTTTTGTAATATATTGCTACGTACTATTTCTATTCATGATGATGTATACGTATATGTACACGCAGATGATAAATCATTTTTGATTCAGACACGGATACATATTCACTATCATATTAGCTGACAAGCGTATATGTGCATCGTTGAAAATTGGTTACAGGCTATCTATTTACACCGTAATGTTTAAAAGAAACGCAGTTATGTTTTTTTTCTTTTGGGTAAACCAGGTACTATTAAAATAACTTGCAACCTGTAGAACATACCCCAATTGGACTCGGTTAAATATCTGAGAATAATTTATGATAACCACTTCCATCGACAAGTCCACGTTGAATACATAACCATACATACATACATACATACATACATACATACATACATACATACATACATACATACATACATACATACATACATACATACATACATACATACATACATACATACATACATACATACATACATACATACATACATACATACATACATACATACATACATACATACATACATACATACATACATACATACATACATACATACATACATACAAACAAGTAAGGACGCTTGGAGCCCTACGAAAGGCTGTGCAAAGGTCGATCGGGGATGCAAGATAGGCATGCTAACTTTAGTTTACAAAACGTATGTACGCCCAGTATTTGAATTCAGTAGGGTTTTATATTCTGAAGCACCATCCTATAAGCTGCGTCCTCTTCTATACTTTAAGAAAAAAAGACCCTAATGCTTGGATTGCCCGTATTCATTTAGCCAATGATGTCCTCTATTTAGAAGCACAGTCATCCTCTCTGGGCTGGTTGAGGATACTAATAGTACAAGCATTCCTAAAATATCAATATGCAATATACTTAAAAACAATTTTTATGTATCAGCGAGGCATATTTATTCTATCTTATTCGGCTCGGTTTCATACACCTCAGCTGAGCTACCTACAAGCACTAATTGGACCAGTCGATGTTAAAGCGAATGAAGTTCCTTTCATTGGTCATGAATGAGTACCTCTTACTCATTTTGGCTATATATAACCCAATCATTCGAAAAAGTTGCCTTACCAGTGTCTAAGTGGAGCTCAGTCACATGCGCGACCCGGTCGCGTTTTGCAGAATAAAAATAAAGTTATTTTCCTTCATTCCTTCATTACCTGGAAAAAAGGGGGCTTTATCAGAGGCATTTAAAGAAGATATATACAACAAAGATTACCAGGTGACCCACACTCTGAGGGAAAATCTAGCATTGCTTTTGTCTTCAGAACATTTAATTAGTTATTTTCATTACAGCACTTCCCAATTTATTATCGAGATTTTTGGCGGAAATTCTAGCGGTGGTAATAGCATTGAAAAAGCTCCCCATGGACACCAAATATGGCCTTACATAGTTACAGATTCTTTATCTTTGTTCTCAGCAGACGCTCCAAAAAGTGACTCTCATTTTTCTTGTAGTTTTCATTTTCCGGCCCCTATCCGGGTAACTGTAATCAGATTATTCTAGGCAGCAGGCCAAAAAGAGATAAAAACGAATGAAATCGCGCAGGCTCTGGCGAAAGCTTTTCTCTGTGTTCCGATAATCTCAATCATACCGACAACAGCTGTCATTATTCGTAACAGATTTTGAAGGCGTGCCATAATGCAAGACACTAGGAAAACAATTATCACTCATCTAAACGAATATCGACACCTCTCTTTCCCTTGGCGTGAGAGCTCCTTTTCAACATGACAAGAGGCGATTATATTTACAAGATTACACAGTCATTTTCCAAAATTTATCTATTCTATGCACAGAGCTGGTAAGGCTCCTTCCCCTCGTTGCTCGTTTTACAAGGTTGGAAAAAGGATCCAGCCCCAATTCTTATCACGAAACCGCTTCAATTTTTAAATGAGAAAAATTCTCAAAACAGTGTGCTCATTAGAGTGCATTTTAGAGTTTCAAATTTTCTATCCTTGAAAGCATTAGGCCATTGTGGATTTCCGTTCTGCGGTATAGAAATTTTATAAAAAATCAGGATGGCTTTGATCTTGATTGGCTATAATTTATTCTAACCAATATGTAACAATCATTGATAGAGTTAATAAGTGATCATTTGTACTTATAAATAAATCGTTTCTTGTCCAATCCCTCACAGTGGGTAAGAGCCACATGTATAGGTAATAATAATAATCATCATCTGCGCAACGACCAACAGAAACCAGCGCGTTCACTCGCAGCCGCTGCCGCCCCTTATTCCGCCATGGATGAACCTCGGCGAAGTGCAGCTGCGTGCAGTTCGAAGACCACGTTGTCCCAGCGTAAGCAGCCGTCGGAGCAGTGTCTGCTGAGACTCAACGAGGAGCTCAAGGACATCATTGACAACCCGGTGCCTGGAGTGTTCATCGAGCCTGAAAAAGGCGACATCACGTACATCCACGCCGTCATCGTGGGGCCCGAAAACACGCCGTACCAGGGAGGCTTCTTCCATTTCGTGGTGAAGTGCCCCTGAGACTACCCAGCCTGTCCGCCGCAGGTACGCTTTATGACGACCGACGGCGGAAGGGTGCGCTTCAACCGGAAGCTGTACAGCAGTGGGCTCGTCTCACTCAGCATTCCGGGCACGTCTCACGGACACTCGTGGAACCCGGAGATGACCCTGAAGACGGTGCTGCTTTTGATCCAGTCGTCGCTCATCGAGCAGCCGTTGGCCAACGAACGGGAACTGGGACGGGAGTTCGAAACTTGGCTTGAAAAGACGATTAGTTGCAACGCCAAACTGCGCTTCCAGACCCTCAGGGTTGCGGTTTGCAACGCACTGGAGGCTTCCCTCCTCGGCAACTCGTTGTACCCGCAACTCCTTCAGCAGGCTGTGATGACGCACTTCGTAGAATAATATGCCAAGTATGAAAGTGCAGCCTTCTCCCTACTTGGCGAAGACTCAAGCAAGGAGGAATCTCAGCCGTACGCAGCGCTACTCGAGAGACTGCAAGACTTGCACGATCGAATCCTGCAAAACAACCCAAGATGAGAAAAATATGAAAATGCGACTACAAAGGCATCATGAACTGCTTAGGCTCATGGAGAGTTCTTTAGAGCATACTAGATACTGGTGCGATAGTGCGGGATCACCGTCGTATATTTCGCGGACACGCTCGAAAAACGTTGGCGAACAGTTATTATACCAGTGGCCTAGCCAGAAAATATTTTCGTGGATAAGGGGGGGGTGGGGGGTCACGCCACGTGACCGGGGAGAGGAGGGTGGAGAAGGTTGATGCCTGGGTCCCCCCCTCCTACACTCCCGGTCTTTGTGACGTAACTACCACATGTAGTTTAGGCCGATTGTGTTTATGTATATCAAAGTCTTGAGACTCCCCCATCCCATATACACGTGAAGAGAGGAGTAAGTAATTATTAAAATGAAGTATTCGCTGCAAATGCAGTAAACAACAGGTACGGTAGTTTAAAGAACTAGATGAATCACTGTGACGTGTACTCGAATATTATTTCAAGTCGAGGATGGCTCCGTTTCATGTGGAATGAGATGTAAACACAGCATGCGTTCGCACAGTAATAATTCCGTATCGCTTTTGCTTATTTCATGAGCGATTTTTTTACTGTCGATGTGTATGACTGCATACCTATGGGAATATATTTTTTTAAGCTCTATGTGTCAAGCAGCCCTGACGCATTGAAACATTTTAGTCAACATTTCTTATTTTACTGCGTGCATCCAAGCATGCTTGCAATACGCAATAAGTAATCGCTTCCGTAAGTTATTCGGCACGTTGGCAACACGATTTGACACGCGTTATTTTTTGGGTAGACTTTCTCGCAAGTTTGGTTCACATCAGAGTTCTCTGTGACTTTTGATAGCAATGAAGTAGTCGAATCTTAGAAGTATTGTCGTGCAATCTGCCAGGGCAATGTAATCCCTTTTGAGAAATGTTAACTTACTCTCAAACGAAAATGCATCTGGGACCAGACAATACATACTCACGCAGAAATAGCTTGTTTGCCGCGTATACCCGCCAGTACACTTAAATACTCGCAAAAACGCATGATGTTCTCGTTCTGTGTTTTTCATAACTCCCGTCACTCTCCTCCTTGAAACGCCAGCGTTGCGGCAAAAATGTCTTCTGTCCTTAGCAAGCGTGCATTCATAATTTCTCTTTACGTCAACATAATGAAAACTGTACATATATGTATATCACCATACGGCCTAGATATGCCATGCATACACTGTTCTAACATACACAGACCGGCATACACTGACCGGCTCCGCGTGTTCGCGGAGCCGGTCATTAATACACCGGCCAGTTTGTCCTATATAGTGTTTACCGCATGAAAGAGGTATCTGATAGATTACAAATTGCGCGCATGTGACAAACAGTGTCTTGTCCACATCTGATGGCAGCTAGTTTCAAGGAACAAGCAGAACGACTTCTGGACGCTGGCTACCCCTGTCACGTACAGGTTTCCGTCGTGGGAATTCAGGTCAAGAAGCTTCAGTCCTTGCAGCAAGCTCTCCCTCATGTTGAGCCAGTAAGACGTCAGAAGCTTGCCGTAGTGCCTTATCTGCATGGAATCTCCCACAACTTGAAAAAGGTTGGGGAGCGGGCCAATGTAAAAGTGGTGTTTTCTGCCCCGAAAAAGCTCTCGTACTTGTGTATGAAAGTTGTTTCACATGCAAAACCGGGATGCTCTAAAAAGCACTTAACACTGTTTGTCACATGCGTGCAATTTGTAATCTATCAGATACCTATTTCATGCGGTAAACACTACATAGGACAAACTGGCAGGTGTATTAATGACCGGCTCCGCGAACACGCTTGCAACGTAAAAAATGGTCGAGATGGTTTTTTGGCACAACATTGTAGCACGTGTGGCTGCAAACCACTTTTTCATGGTACAGTTCTCATAGGAAAAAACAGAAATAAACTGACAAGGGAGATTATTGAAGCAGAAAAGATTAGTAGATTAGGGCTGAACAGCGCCAGCACTCTTTCTCTCGGTCTTTGTGATAAAGAATTGTCGTTTTTGAGATCATAAATTTTTAGCGCATGGCAATAGAGGGTTTTCCATCTGTTTGTCTGTTGTATTCGAATTTTGTGAGCATATATATGTGCGCTCCTCGAAATAAAAATTTTATTGGAAGTAAGCGCTCCCTTCTGTCCCTTCCCTTGTCCTTTGATTCTAACGCGCTACGTCGATTAAAGATGAAAAGATGGTTTTGTTATGCTGGAGTACCATTACATACATGCATCCTGCCCAGTGGGTTCTAAGAACGTGAAGATGGCTCCTATCAACACATTTTTGAGCATACGCTGTTGGTGTCAAGCGAAGAATTCTTGAAACAATGCACTTATTCACTATACGCACGTATTGTCCTCGTTGCCTTTATGGCTGACCTAAAAGACACTGCACATACCTTACAAGGTTAGTCTTTCCAAACGGAATGACTATATTACTTATTCATATAAAATAACAGATATTTTAATTGCGATGTCACTGTTACCTTGACGCGTTGTAGTCACATAAACTGTAATTATGACGTTTTTGCACAACTCTGCTTTTTTAGGTACAATATTCATAGAAACCACCTCCCTATATCACGACTGCCCTTCCCTCCGTAGACTTCATTACTCTCATTGTCGATATTATTAGCAACAATATAAAAATCTGAGTGCCAGCCCTGCTGCCCGATATAAATGAAGCAAGAGAGATGAGGGAGAGATGAAAGATTCTTCGAACAAAAAAAAATTTTAGGTAATTGGGGACACAATATGCACTCTAACAATAGCCTAACGATACAAGTGATCAGGCGAAAATGCAATATTATCGTTTCTTTATATATCCAGTCTGACAAAAAAATAGACCCCTTTGAAGCAGTACTTGCTACTGTACAACAGATCATAACTCACACTCATGTTGGTCATATGTATAGAACGTTCAATATAACCAACGACACGGAGAGTCCGTGCTGCGAGTTTCTTGGGAGGCTGCCGCACATGTTGGTTATACACATCCTGGAAAGGTGCACTGCTATCCCGCAGGAAGCCACCATTAAGCGAAAAGTCACTCACAGCAACCCAAAGCCCATGTCTTTTCAAGATGGCTCTTTAGGATCTTGCGGGCCACATGAAAGAGCCTGAAACTGCGCATCAATGCACTAAGCTGGCCGTTGAAGTGCTCTCTGAGTAGCCGCGGATGCATAGCGTATCTCAGGCAGACGACTTGAAGCTAGCGCATCTACCAGCCTTGAAGGAGCGAAAAACGCTAGCAACGCCGACGCTCCAGGGTAGACCTTGCACAACAGCCAAATGTGACAGCAGGGCACGACCGGAAGACTTCTCGCGAAAAAGGCACGGGTGCGGAGTGGAGGCGTTTTTTGAATGAGCTCGCGGCCGTGCATGACGATGTCGCATGCATTTTGCAGGAAGACCACGAGTCCGAAACGGCGCTTCTCAAACACAAACACCAGGTCTTCACCATCCCCCTGTGCTCTGCGCTTCGAGGTGGTGATGCCACAGTCATGCTTTCCGATGTGAGCGTAGTGTCGCTGGGTCGTGTCCCGATGTGAAGACATACATAGTCTTTTGTTTTCAAGACGCTTTGCGCCAAACAAGAGAGTATAGGAGGTCTCGGTCATACTTGTGGTGAGCTGGCAAAAAACGCGACGAGCATATGCTGAGACATGCAGGTCGAAGACTTGCTGTGGAAGCTTCAACATGATGACGAGCGAGCTAACATGCAATGGCTTGCAGAACGAGCCACCGCGCGCATATGACACGCGCGCTCGCTAAAGCTACGTAGCAATTAAGAAAAAGAGGAAGACCAAATAAAGCACCAGGTATAGCTAGAAAAAGACGTGCGCATGCCATTCCTGAAGAAAAAACTCAATCTATATGTGTGCATGCGTTGCTTTAAAATTAGCGATATGTTGCTCTAGTGCGTACTTCAAGCACTAAAGTATATTCGAACTTGCTATGCCCCCCCCTCCCCCCTAAATGGCCATAAGGGAATAGACGCAATGAAGTATGTGCCTTAGGTAGTGGCCAAGCGGCTTCAAACCATGAAGTGTTTATTTTTAATGCAATGTTCTATTTACCGATGACAATGTACGCTTGCTTGTACCACGCATTACTATTGCAGTATTTCTTTTTGTAGTGTGAAGCCTTTTTATTGGATGCGTATGTTTGTGAAGTATGAAAATTACTTTCACTAGTTTTCCACGCAAAGGAAATTATTTTCGCTGTATTCACGAACAGAGGCGTGGCTTTTTAGTAGAATTTCACAAAGCCTACAATTTGTTGCCGAGTGCTGTACAAATAAAAAGTTGGTGCACCTTGCATTAGTGGCGGAATGCTTGAACCATTTGTGAAGCAGTGTGGCCTTCCTTGATCCCTTTTATTTTTCTGTTTTGCTCCATTTTTTTCAGTGCCATCTTTGTCTCTATTTCTGCCTATTTCTTTCATGCTCTCTATCTGTACATATTTTTAACTCTATTTATTGTTTTTATCTTTATTCGTCATTCCATTTTCTTTGTTTTCTATCCCTTTTTGTTTGACACTATACTATGTCATTTTTTTTGTATATAACTCTTAGGCTGTTTCTTTGCATATCTTTCTCTGTTTTCCCTTTCTTCGTTTTCAATCTATGTGTCCATGTTCTAAAAAGAGCCTTTCCGCTCTGTGCTGGTTATATCGAACATCCGTGTTGCTGCGTCTCACGCCGGACAAGTCGGCACGCGTATCGGGTGAGCACACGCGAGGTTCACGTGTTTTGGTGGCGAAGCCGGAAATGAAGGATAACGTGAACCGGCGTGATAGTTTTTGCGAAGGCGAATTGGGAACTTGCCGAAAAGGTGAACGCTATGCTTGTCAGACTTTTTAG